CATAGTGAATGGTAAAAGTAATGAGAATGGCGCACATAACATTAACAGTAACTCTAGGCAGAATTTCTACTAGCACCCAGTATTTACTAAGCTCTACTTCCACATGAATGATGGTAATGCCCACATTACCCTCCTTCTGCCAGTGTCTCAAGGTTATGGAGAACTCCACAGTACTTGAAACCCTTATCTTTATTAACAATAGTTTAGGATTTTGTGCCAAGGCAATGTTACTCAGTAGGAATTCAGTGAATATCACATCTGTAGCCTTGTTATTGTATACGCTTCTAGAATATGAAGGCTAAAAGGGTTCAAAGGCTTCTACATTACATTTTGAATGGCCCAGCACCTTTGTTCTAAAAATAAATACATGATTTAAAAATAAATAATTAAGTGGGTTCAAATCAGAGGCTTACATTGCTTTTGACGATATGCACATTTGATCAGCTGTTGAAAGAGCTGCAGTTCAGCTGTGCTGAGTTAAGATTTAGTGACAGGGGCACACAGGGATCGGACTCAAAGACAGAAACTTAGCCTTTTCCTTAGTGAACAAGAAATGAGTATCAGACTAGCTGACAAGGATAGATAATACACAGTACTGGAAGCTTTGGATACTTTCCAGTAGGGTGGAAGGCTGGTATGGCCAACCTTTAGGCCACGATTCAATAAAGAACACTAAGAACAATTGTTAAGCTCATCCTTACTTGACAAATCATGTCAGTTTATGCTTATCTTTAACTTGTGATTATTGAAGATAATAAAAATTTATGTGTGCACTTAAAATTAGGCAACAACTTTACTGTTTTGTTGAAAGGTCATCCATAATATGCTGGGGAGAAAGTAGTCTGACCTGCCATGGTCAGGAGAAGCTGCTTTTATGTAAGGCTGCATGACAAGGTAAAAAACAGGCAAAACTTTTTGAAGAAGATTTCCTCATCCTCACTTCCCACTCCATATCCTCCCACCTTCCTAAATTACCCTTTTTACATCTCAATTGATGGAAAGACAAAGAAACCACTGTAAGTGAACAGAACTGCAAAGTGAGGCAAAAATTGCAAGGGGCAAGACTGAGAAAAACAAGTCTAGTCCAGTCTGAATGTATGAGGCAAAATCAACAGAAGGCAGCTAAAAATGTACATTGACAATGAAGGACAAAGAGTTTTATAAGCATTATTGCCGCAGTCTGTTAAAGCATTTGCAGCAGAAAAAAGATACAAGAAAAATTGATGAGTGGAACTAATAGAAATAGAAAGGATAAAAAAAAAAGCAAAATTATTAACTTTTTCATAATTATTTTAAACAATGGAGCACATGCTCTCGTATTTTGAGAGTTAAGCACTTGTACACATCTTTCTCATTGTTTTGAATGAAGCTCAAGCATATGATCAAAATTCTTTGCTCGATAAGAGTATTTTCTGAAATTGGGCTGGAGAGCTACTTGAACAGGAATCACATTTCCAGACATACACCCAGGCCCATGTATATGTGTGATGCTGTATTTGAAAATACTGTGTGCACGTATCGCACAGAGAATACTTCATGTGCTTGAAGCTGGCACCATGCTTGAGCACCCTGTTAGATTGTGGTGTGAATGAGAAGGTAAAGGCTGCAAAGAAAAAAGGAAATACTTGTGAAAGATTTAGGCATTTCTCCAGCTTGCTATTATACTGTGGAGTACTTACTATTAATGCTGTAACTTGTTGTGTAGGCACTTAAAAAAGAATTCTGCTCACATATCTGATATGACTTTGAAATTCAGACTTTGCCATTTTCAGGTCCAGGTAACATTTTAAAAAGAATAACTGGTTTTAATGAGAAGGGATAGAATTATATCTCTTTTTCTGAGAGGAGAGAGAAGATAGATAGCAGAGGATAGATAGGAGAGGACTCTGACAGCAGGTAAGAAGCCCTACACTAAGTTTTTAGGGAGCTGAAATCTAAGCTTTAGAAAAACCTTCAAATTTAAAGATTAACTCTTCACACACCAATTTGCTGATTCATTTATTTTTAGTAAATATAGTGAGAATATGTTTAGGTTTAGTAAATCAACATGCCAAAGGAATACCTATTTTGGAGACAGAAAATGTTAACTTATGGAGGTAATGCTATAAGGATTAAATGCCATACTTGACCAGTGCCATGGTCCTGTAGAAAGTAATGAGAAATTGAAGAAAACATTAGAAGCATGAATTTCCAAGTTTTTTCCTAAGTTAAATTTATTTGAAATTGAAACAACTCAGCTACCTTTTTTACATCTGTTTTTCCTTGGGTTTCTGTAATGCCGGTACCTGCACAACCTTTAAGACATATACATTTTCAGCTTTTTAATTATTTTTCATTTCCTTTTGTTTATACACTTTATATCATTATTCACTTAGTCTAGATATATACAACAAATAAAGAAGGTGCTTATGAGTCTCTTGGTCTTACACTTCCATTTGGAAGCAAGTTTAACTGAATATTAAAAACCTGTGAGGATTATCCAGATGATATCTGTATATCAGTGGTTTTCAACCTGTAGTCTGCCATCTGGGGATCTCTGGATTACTCCTGAGCAGTCTGTAAAAATTGAGGAAAGTC